TTTTATTACAAGCTTTTGTCAGAATGTTTTATCACCTGCCTTTGCAAGTGAAGAAAGAAATAGGAGTTCACGTTTAGTTTAGAATAGAACAAATTACATCAGTCACCTGTAGCAACTGAACTCCATGTTTTATCCATACAATTAATTAAAATAAAATGCTTTCGTTAGTTACTTCATGTTCACATTAATTGATTAAAGATTCAGTAAATAAAATACATCTATATTTCTAAGGTAACTTATTGTCTTCCTTGTTGGCCATTCATATCTCTTTGTTCTTGCAGTTGCCATTATTTTATCCGTAGTTGCATTTTTTTCCAACAGACTTCATTACCTTTAAAACATATTAACTAATGTAGTTGATTCCCTTAGTACTGAGGAAGAAGCTTTCTTTGCTTCCACTGTCTTCTGAGATCAATAGATGCATATGCCAGCAAAAATTGATGTTGCAGTTCATAGTCTCAATTAAAGAATGTTTTATGTTTTTTACAGGAATAGTATGATTGCTTTTTAAAAATAAAAGAATAAAAATACAGTTATAAAACCTGTAGTTTTATAAGATACTGCAAAAATGGCTTATGTAACAGAATAATTCCAACAGGAGTATCATGATGGAAAATAGGGGCTGCAAAACAATTCTCAGTGAAAACAAAATTGGGAAATAACGTTTTTATTTTAAATTCTCAGGGACTTTTAGCTCCCTGCTTGTCCGTAATAGCTATTTGTCTGCTTTCTTTTAGAAGTGACTATATAGTACCTATGTATATTATTTTATCCTAAATAATGTACTTTCAAGTTCTGTTGCCGATCTCCTGGATGTATGGTGATTCAAGTAAATGTTTTCAGTAAATGAGCAGTTTTATCTCCCTCCTTCCATCCCTCTGCCATTGTATAAACTGTTTCCTCTTTGCTTGACTCTTTTTTACCAGGCTACCTGGCAGTGGTGTAAGAACAGGCTCTTCTTACGCAACATTTCTGTACATGTGGTTAAAATCATATCTGGTGGGGTTTGTTTGTTTTTATCTGCTGTTGCTTTTTAACCAATGTTAACTGTGTTGTTTCTATAGGAGTCAGAATAAATAAAAATTTTTTGTTTTCTTTTTCTTTTCCCTTCGGTAGTCAGTGCTCTGCAGTAGTTTTACTGAAGTTCCTATGTGCCCACAGGGAGGTCTACATCATTCTTGGTGATGATGCATGAGAAGGAAAAACAACGGAGAGTTTTAGATCTGCTGAGTTTGAAAAGTTGTGAAATATCCTATTGTTTCAAATGTGCACAGTTTTTTTGAAGTATATCATTGAAAGACTAATCATGAATCCCCAAGAGGGCATGTTTAGTCACTGGGTAGAATAGAATAGCATTAAGCATTCACTTAATGAATGAGCCTGGTTAACAGAAAAGTCGTGTGTACACACCCCTTGCCGTGATTTGAAATATTAAGAATTATAAATATGTATATATTAAAAAGATAACCACTGGTAATTCATAGTTATACCTTCTGTGTTACCATTATCTTGAAGAATTTTTCACTTTGTGTCCATGATTGCCACTTGCATCTGTTTTGTGTAAGGTGTTCTGAGTTTTGGTAGTGTTTGATGGTGATAAAACAAATGAGCTACACTTTACAGGAGAGCATTGGGGATTAATTGTCAAATGTTGTGTAGATAAGCTTCTAGGTGCCAAGCAGAAGTAATTGTATGAAGTTCATTGTTTCCAGAATACTTTTCTGTCTAGAAATGTAACATAAGCTGCACACACTCTTCCTAACAGAGGGATTTTTTTTTTCTTTATAATAGAGACTCTACAAGTAGGCTTAGTGATTGGAGATGGAAGAAGTTCTTAGCTTTGTCATTGGACATCAGTCAAATGTCAAAATGTTTTCATCCAGTAAGTTAATTGAACTAGGTTCTTGGACAAAAATGACAGGTTATTTCTGGTTCTTTAGGTTTATTTTTTTGCCTCTAACATCTCCTTCAGAACTGATACTTCTCAAGGATTTTACTCATCAATGAACTGGTTTATGTATGTTTTGGTGTGTAATTCACTATTTAAAAAAAAGAGAACAGTTCTTTTCTCCCGTATCTTTAGTTTTTCCTCTGCGGATGTGACTGCTCGGAGATTTTAATGCCAACTTCCATTAGACATGCATTATTTCAGGTCTGGCTGGCAGTTGATGTGTATACATTCTATATGTCCACCTTCAAAAAGCTGTACTAAAGTTGGGGAGGGCAGGAGTTTTAAGGCTGTTTTGTTAAAGTTTCTCAACTAAGCTGAGGACCTGATCAGGATTCGTAACAATGACAACGTTCTAAAGGCAGTGCTCCACTGGGAAAAAGTCTTCCATGTTGGTTTTCAGGATGGTTACCAAGTGTTTTTCTTTACATTTTTTTTCTGAAAAATAGTTATGCTGCCACAAAATATAAGCATTTTTAATGTAATTCAGTTTCATGATAATTTCCTTAAAGGTGAAGGTTGAATTGCTTTGATTAATAATCAAACTTAAAGCCTTCCTGACCACGTCTCTGAAGAAGGAAATAACTTCTAATTCTTTAAGACAACATTTCTTGCTGTCATGGCTTCAGGGTATGATCATTTTATCTTACAAAGAGAAAGGATGTTTGCCTTTTTCATTAAGAAAATCAATTAGAGAAACAATCAAGCAATGACTCTTTCTGAAAAGGTAATTTAGGCTTCCCAGTCATTTAGATATTTTTTGAACTTTTAGTAGCCAGGTTGCCCATTAATCTCATGAGCTATGGGTCAGCCTAACTCTCAGGGATATATGTGCAAGTCTCGAAGGAGTTTCTTCACATTTAACACTGGAGACACCAATAAATTTAACTCCCCCACCTACCCCACTCCTTGCATTTTCTTGATGTTTCAGAATTTATCAGCTAAAATTGTGCAATTATCACTCAAAGGACCACATTCTCATGAAAAGAGTTGCATCTCTGGATTTTACTGATGCAAAATCATCTTAGTCATCTGACTATAATTCCCATCTGTGCATCTTTTCATATTCTTACTGAGATATTTAGAAAGCCAAGAAAAATTATGTGACTAGCCTAGCAGCTGAATCATTGTTATTTTATGTTGAATATGAATGCCGGCACAGGAAATGCAAGATACTAACTCAGGTCTTTTTGAATGATTGAAGGAGGAAGAGGATTTGTAAACAGTTTGCAGTGTAATCATGGAATCTTTATCCAGGCATTTCTATAATTTAATAATAATAATTTTAGATCAAATTGTGATTTGGGTTTTGGAGGGATTTTCTATTTGTTTTTGTTTTCAAGAACATTGCCTTTATGTAAATTACACAATTTACAGAAATTGTCATGGTGTCTTAATTTTCATGTCTCGTAATTATTGTTTCATCATATCCCATATATATTAATAATTATACATTTTGTTGTGAAAATACATACATCTTTTCAAAAACAAAGCATGAACAGTTTGCAGTAATTAAAGTATAAACTGGAATTGTTTCGGTTGCTGAGACACATTTAAAAAAAAAGAGCTATATAATAAACATGTTAACAATAGAAGAGGTTTGAATTTTTTAATATAATTAAATGTTACATTTTCACTGTATGGTAGTGCCCCATATCCTGGTAACATTGCAGTCCCAGTAGGCAAAACTTATCAGTGTTTTTATTTGGCATTGACAGCCAAAAGGCAAACCCCATTTTATTTAATCTTTGAGAAATAAAAAGACATTTTAATCTTTTTTCTTTTTTTTTTCTTTTCTGTAGGCTTAAAATGAATAAACAATGCCCTTTTTAAAGCATGACTCATTCAAAAATACACCTTAAATGAGAAACTGTTCATTTAATTGAAGTGATTCTTTTGTCAGGCTTTGTATTGATGTGTACAAATTAATCCTTTGTTATTTACAGTACAAGACTTGTGATCAAATAGTACTATTTTCCTCAAGATAAAAATCTTCATTTTGTAACCAATTTGCACAGAATGTTTTCTAATAATGTCTTGTGCCTGTTCTTTTGTAACTACATTTTTTATTTCCAGTGCATTGAATTTGTATGTGTGGTTTATACAGAAGAAAATAGGGCTAAGAATGACTTTTAAAGTCATATGCAGAGCCCTTGACGGAAAAAAGAACACAGGCACATCAGGGTAAAAGTAGTAGGAGGAGTATTTCATTTTACTCATCTCCTAGAAAGCCTACATTAACAAGAATATGTGGGGGAAAAAAACAAAAAAAAAAACCCCAAACCCAAGAAAACCCCACCAACAAGACAAAATGCTGGTACAAGCTACATACACTTGTTCTTTCATTATTAATACTGTATGAAGAGATTCCAAGTAAAGTAAAATGTAGCCATATAAGACAGAATTATACATGTAATAGAAAAATCTCAAGCACTTTATAATTTGCCTGAACAGAAATTTAACATGTAAAACCATTAATTTCAAAGAGGGCATTAAACAGGGATCAGGAGACTACGTGGCAGAAATTTTAGAAGGTTTTCTGTTGCATAATGTTTACACTTTAAAAAAAAAAAAATCTTTTGTTTCCTATCTAAAAGCATAAAACCACAGTCACAGTTCTAGAACTAAATCTTTTGAAGGCTGTTATGTAGGGAGTGCGGTGAAAAACGTCAGTCTCAATGACAGTATGTGCCCATTAGAACAAATGGGTTCTTTACTGATCACTTCTTGCTTGTCTTCTTAAAGGTACAGTGTCAAACTTGGTTTATTGTTTTAGTGTGTATTTCTTTTTTTATCCGTGCCTGGTAGGACTTTAAAATGATAGCAAATAATTTATCTTTCAACTGGTTTCATTCCAGTAGCCTACTTGGGCTTTCAGCACACTGAAGGGATGTTGCTGTTTTCTAAAAAGCATTTAAATTGATACTATAGTAAAAGATTATTACTAAAGCTGATATTGGTGCTTGATTATTTGATCACTTTCTCATGTAAGTGACATAAACAATTAAGTTACAGCAAAACTGTAATTTGAGTTAATTGTGTTCTCAGGTCTCTGAACAAAATGAATTTCATTACAAGGCTTTCTGCTTTATGTCTGAAGAAAAGCAAGATGCAACAGAGGCACCAAAGTGGTAGACGACCAGCTGTTCCACTTGGATCACGGATTTTAACTGATCCATCTCAGGTTTTTGAGCACAACATGTGGTGAGATGTTTCTTCAAAGCTGATTTTTATATATTTTTGTGTATTATTTACTATATTGAATTTGCATATATATAACAATGGACTGCCAGAATAGACGTGTAAAGGTAGTGTTAGAGAAAACTCTAGATTGTCACAAGCAATCTGACAGTTAGGAGTTCTCAGGGACTTGTGTAAAACGCTGCTGAGCAAGTAGTTAGTCATGGAATGAAAGGCAAAATATTGTTACAGATGACAATATATAAGTCGGTAATGAATTAGGAGACAAAAAGTGTATGGATAAGATGGTCCGTGTTATTTATAATGGCAGAAAGTTACTAGTTAGGGACAGTAATGTTGCATACTGGATTAGTACTGTATTCTAAAATTGACACCATTTTGAAAGGAACGTGTAAATTACTTGTATTCTTCTAAAGGTGTACTGCAGATATTACAGATAATTCAGCAGAGATTTCCATACAGTGCACAATTGTCTAAAAAGATATGTTGAATCTTAACATAAAAAAGCAATATAATAGCAGAGAAAACATTAACATGTAAATGTTAACAAGAATAAGAATTGCCCTGATTTGCAGCAGTACATCGCCATCTCTAAAAGTATTTTTATGATTAATAGGGGTTCAGAAAAGATTGAGAATGCTAGTCAACACAGATTGAAGAGGCTAGGATTTTTGACCATGGAATGGAGATTAATACAAAACAGTAAGTGATACAGGAAGTGTTAGAAGGATAGAAGAATATCTAAATTTATCTAGGAAATAGAATATTTACCTAAAACATTTGGCAGACCAGGAATTTTTATTCCTACAGTTCATAACTTAAGAACAAGAAATATTTGACAAAAAGAGAAGTGGAGAATTTAGAAGCTATACAAGAAATTATTTTCTACATAATTTTAAAATATATTTTTGAATTCTGCCACGCACTATTTTTGAGAGCAAGGATTTAGCAAAATTAGAAAAGGGACTGGATGTGACTACTTATAACCAACGGGTAGCATAACATAGGAGAAACAGATGACAAGTTTCAGGGCTTAAGCTTATTTCTGCAGTTATTTATTATCTTATTAATCTGCAGTTTTTATACCTCCCTCAAAGGTGTCTCCTGCTGGCAACTGTCAGAGAAGTTATTGGACAAGCTTTTGTTCTGAAATGAAGTTTCCAACTTGCTGGTTTTTTTTTTAGTTATTCTTTTGAGGAGTCCATTTTATTTGTTAATTGGTCCATTTTACTTTCTAAATCTAAATTGCTTCAAAAGTTTCTCTAGTAAAATTGTGATGACTAAAAAGGTCTTAAGAGAAGAATATGACACAAGTCTTCTGGTTAATAAACTAGTATCTTCCTTATTCTTTTTAGTTTCTAAATTTGGGCTTAACTGATGAGGTAAGATATGCAACTAGATCGTCACCTATTACTGTTTTCTAAACTAGATGTCCTCAAGGCATGGTCCCCAACATATACCACTGTAAGGCCAAAACTGGAGTTGTCTATGCTTCTATAAGTTCCTTGGCCAAGGAAGCTGGCTGCTTATTGTGTTAAAAGAGTGTAAAGTTTATCTCCATGTTTCATAAATCTACATGCAGCATAGTTGTTAAGCATCTTCCAGACTTAATACCTTCAATTAGGTGGAAAAAGCATTTATGTGTGTAAATGCTGATTAAGATGTAGGCTATATAGTCAAGGTAGGGTAAGATTTTTAGAAAAAGGCCACCCTTTTTCTGTAATGGTGTACCTCAATGAAACTCAGTTTTGTCTAATTTTTTAAATTCCTTCCAAATAATTGATCATGTGTAGCTTCAGTTTTTCTTGCTAGCATTGAGTGACAGTCTAATACAGAGTTATCAAACTATGATGCAGGTGATTGGGATGGATTGTAAAGATGAGATTGAAAGGAACAGGGTTGTTCAGAAAGTGGATCTGCAGATTAATCCACGTAGCTCAGAAGGGAAAACAGGTGAAACTGAGTTGGAGCAGGGGTTGCATGGAAGTTGCGAAGGTCTTGATAAGTCAAGAACCTGGCTACAAATTGGAGGGAGGTCCTGGATCTGAAGGTCGCTGAATCAGCAGGGTTCTCACTAGGGAGATAAAGGGGATCAGGGTAAGTGGTGGTGGAGCTAAATAGATCATTCAGGGTAAGCATAAAAGATTCATCTTCCTTAGCATTGATGTATGAGGATTTATATCCTTTTGTTTTCCACTCATCATCTTTGGTACTTCATAAAGTGGCATCCTTCTTTTTGCCTTTGTGTGAATTGGCGGGGAGCTAAGAGCTGCTACCATTGCTGCTAGGAATACTAAGCAAATTAAATTTGGGAACTAATGCTTTAGATATTTGCTGTAGTGCTCTTCTGTCATTTTGCGAGAGAAGTAATGAATGATGCTAAACACTGGAGCAAAAAATGTCTGCTTCTATTCAGGTTAGTAATTGGCATAGTTTTCACATGTCATTTTTCATAGATAATTAAACCCTATGTTAGCAAACAAGTTAATGGAAAAGGGCTAAGTTGAATAAGCTGAACTGAAAGTAGCATTGCTTGATCTCGTGTCAGGCCTACTCATGTTAACAGTTCCTGGTGTGGTTAAAATGGATAGCTTGCTTTGCTGTCAATGTTCAGCTTAAAACGCTTCTGTATTTAAACACTTCTGTGCTTAGAATTCTTCTGTATTCTGTGTTTCTGCCAGCTGTTATTACTGAAGGAGCTGCCTCATTTGAAGCATACAAACTATGTAAATAGTTTGCATAAGAACTATATTATGTCATCTGTTTTGCATATATTTTGATCAAGAAGTGCTGCTGCAGTCCTGTCATTTGGGGATTTCCATATAAAAATTTCTAGGAAAGAGCCAAAAGACCTTTCTTCAGCTTTATGAATTTCCAAGGAGGGACAAAAGGAAAAAAGTTGTTGATGAAGATGGAGGACTTCAGGCACCTATAATAGTGTGTGTAGAGCCCTTAAGAGCTCTGACAGACACACAATGATGGATTAAAATTGATCAGCTAAAGCTTATACTGCAGCAAGTCATCTGTCAGAAGGGCTGGCTGTATATTATTGCCATCTGAATAGTCCTTGGTTTCAGCTTGCTAGAATAGGCAAGGTCAAAAATGGTGACAGCAGTGAGAGAAGCAAGTTCTTCCAAGAGGATGGCTGCCTAGTAATGCTTCGGTCATTCAGTTTTATTCTACTACAGCATGTCTGTCAGAGCCTTGACACTGCACAGGAACATTCAGTATACAAACAAATACAGGAAGGGGAGAGGCAACCTGCTGGGGACAATAATGAGAAATATTTCAGTAGAGATGCGGAAATCAAGTCTGAGGCAAGCAGACAAATACATACCAATTAGTCTCCCACAATTAACAAAAGAGAACAGTGAAGGTCTAAGAATTAAATTACTTATATGTCACCAAGCATGGAACAGGAAGATGCTCATTAGCTCTTAGAGACAATTAACTCTTTTCAAGTTGGCACCTTGTTCCTTTTCCCATAGTAACCAATGGAATTTTAGTCATAGGCTTTCAGTTAATTGATTTCAGTAGGATTCGGATCTAATAGATTACTTATATTATCTGATTTAATCTGATTTCTAAAACTGTTTAGACTGGATGATTTGGAGGGGCAGCTGATTAGCTTTTAAAACCTGCCAGCAGCATGTTTTTGGGTACTCTCCATTGTGGCCTGATCCAAACACAGAATCTGCATGGAAGGTAGTTTAGCCATCAGGGTCAGATCTTGGTTTGGTTCTGTGACCACTTAATGGATTATTATAACATTTAGTGAACCGATTTATACAAATATAGATAGCATACACTCTGGAACAATTTGCAGCACTGCTTGTCTTTTTCTTAGGAATGTCTCATTCTTCTTTTTTCTAAATGTTTCTTGTCTCGATGCCCCAAATAAGTAAAATCCTGTTCATCAATTCCACCTGTTTCACTTGAATAGGCAGATTATGCTCCCTGTTTCAGGAATAGCTGATTCCTTTGATAAATGACCTTTGTTCCTCATCATAAACATTAATAATGTGAGAAGTTTCTTGCATCAAGGTGTTTGTTGATAGGTCTATTATTGAGTTAAACACAATGGCACACTCAAAATAAGTTCCTATAAATGCACTCAATTTACAAGATATATGTTAATCCTATTACTAAGAAAAAAAATGCACACTACTTCAGCCTCTTTGCAATTGGAAGATTTTTCTTAATCACTTGAGTTTTACCTAACTACTAGTTAATTTTTATCTATCATACTCTGAAACTTAGTTTTTAACTGTCAGTCTCCTTTGTGGTCATTTGCTTGCATTCAAAAAGAAAGTGTATTTGAGACAGTGTAGCTAATTTGTGGCAGTTTTCCCTGGGAAAAAAGATTATGGAAAATCCTATTTAAAGGCTGTTCTTCAACTGCCTTTTGCAGGGACCACATGCAGTGGTCACAAGAGGAAGAGGAGAATGCCAAGAAAAAAGCAGCAGAGAACTCACTTGTGAAAGTCCAGTGGGAAGACCAAGGTAACAAATGCATAATGGCTTACAAATTCCTATTTTAATGCTATTTTTTAAAGCATTTAAAGATGCTTTAAAATCCAGGAACACTTTTTATTTCTACATTCTCTTGTCTAAATTTGTTGGTTGGTTTGGTGTTTTTCCCTTTGTTGCCTCAAAGTGTGTTTTCCTAGCAATTCAGTTACTTATCTGAGCAATTTTGCATTTGGGGGGGCCAATAGTCTCTGTGTAAAACAAGTACATCAGTATGGTGCAGTTGCAAGTTCTGGTTCCTTTTGTAGTTCTTTAGAATAAAACTCCTACTGCACAGGACTGTTACTTCATCAAAGGGAATGGCTTTGCCAGCTAGCTAGGGTGCTGGGGATGAAAGTTCCCATGTACAATATTCAAATGCTTTTTAATGATTTGCGGACTGTTTAGAGAGCTAGTGTTTGTACATTGCACCATATTTCAGCTAAGTGCCATGAAAGTTACACTGGTCTCAGCTGGTCCCAGCTTGCTGCCTTGGCCAGGCTGAGCTGGGAGTGCTTCAGGAAGCAGTGTGTTCACTTTGTGTGGAAGGTGTTCCAATATATCATGCAGAGTCTGCTCAGTAAATGATTAAGGAATTTTGTGCCTGTCTTCAGATGGGAAACTTAATGTATTCTGCATTTCTGAAGAATGATAGCTCTAGGTTCAAACTGGTAAACTAAACCCTAGACTAAAATCTGGGATAGTTATGTATGCTGAAGCTGGAGTATTGGCTTGATAGTAACATAGAAGACTGGATTCTTAATTTGTTCCTTTATTAGAAAGGTATTCTGAAAACAATTACTTGGATGTCCTGGGCCTCAGTTTACTTGTCGTGTCTTGGACCTGTCAAATTAGATAGTGTCATTGTGATCCTGTGCTCAGTGTCATGTTGGAGCTTATTTGAATTACCTGTGAATGTGTCGTGGATTGTGTGCCCGTCATCACTTTGGATGTTCTTGGATTGTCATCCTGCCTTTGCTGTTACCTTTCACATTCTTTATCTGAATACAGGAGTACAATGTTTGTTTTTCAAAAATTACATCCAATATTTTCATTTGGTTTGTGTAAAATTGAAAAAGAGCTCATAATTGAAAAGTAAGCTGTGTAACCATGTGGGTCATGGAACCTTTCATTCTTCATCTACAATCAGCTAGAACTTAGTTTGTGCTGGTGAGGAATGGTATAATTGGGCATTCGTCTATTGCCAAGAAATACAAGAGTCCAAGGACATTTCCTATGAATGCCCCTCTGTTTAGAACTCGAATAGGTGAGCATTGCTGATAGTGTTCCTTCAGAAAGCTTCAGCTTCATTCTGCAAGTAGAAGTACATTTTGGTCTATTTGTGTAAACAATGAACTAGACTGAAGCTAATAAGCAGGTTATTTTGGGACCTTGGAAACTACAGTAAGGGGGAAAAAACAGATTTCAACAACACTGTTATATCACTAAACTATCATAGCTCTGGTGAGCCGTGTTAAAATGAGAAGTTAAACTGAACGAACTCATGATACTACCTTTAGGAATTTGATTTACTTCTTTGCATGTCCAGTTTCTTCTCAGCATGCCTACTAGTGTTGAAAAATGCTGTTAAGGAGAAAAATCAATTGATTAAGTAAGGGATTTTTTTTGTCTTGGAAGGTTATACGTTTATCAGTTTTGTCATTTTTACATGCTATGGAAAATTCAGTAGTCAGGGTACTTAAATATACAAAATTAAACAAAAAGTTGATAATAATAGTGCATTTGTGGTTATTATACAGTAGTGCAGGAGTGACCAGTGAAAGAATGAAAAGTATTCTTTCACTTGAACCTGTGTTATACCATAGTAATACAGTTTGAAAGGCTGACTTTAAAGCCATTGCTTTCCTTCAATTCTGAAGTCTGGAAAACTTAATGGAGATTTAAGTACAAGGGTTCTGAGCAGACTTGTAGAAAAGTAGTGTCTATAACAAGGGATGACAATAATTTAAGAACCTTTTGAGTAGAAGATTTGGGGTTTTTTGTACTGAAGCTGAGCAATATATGAATGTGCAACTTACACTATTGAAATCTGGTATATATGACCTCAATCAACTCTGCACTTATAAAGCAAGTCTGTACAATTACTCTGCATGGCTGGGTCTTGCCCTTTAATAGTATAATTGGATGTATTAAATGTTAAATTTTAAAAATTATGCAGATTTCTAGGACAAGACATTCTTCCACCTCCTTGCCACTTCCCACTGCCTGTCTGCGTCTGATGATAATTCTCAGACTTGTTTACTCTGAAAAGCTGTAGTGATTTAGGAAATAGTATATTCAGATTTAAATGAGAATAGTAGGAGAAATGCACCCTATATTTACTCTGTGCATTTATACTAAAAGAATTAATGGGTCAGTGTAAGTGAGTAGGGACAAAATAGAAAAGGCAACACATTGTATGATGTACACTTAGCAAGAGACGTCAAGGTCAACAAGAAACAGTTCTTTAAACGCTTTGGGAATGAGGGGGAAAAAACCAAGAAAAATATTTCATTTGCTACTTAGGAGGGATGAGGAAGGGAAAACCATCAACAAAAGAGACATTGAAAAAGCTGTAATTCTAATCTTTTTATCAGCCTTCCTTTGAAAGGGTTAGCTGCAGTCCAGTGGCTAGGACAATTAGTACCAGTGAGAAGGAGGAAAGATCTTGTTCTTGTACTGAGAACAGGTTACAAAGTACATCCATAGAGTACATGGATGACTGGGAAAGCAGAAAAGAGAATATTTACTTTTTTTAAAAGGTGTGATGGGAAAAGAGGAAAGTCAGATAATTAATTTCAGTTCCTGGAAAAATACTGGAAGAGATAATCCAGATCTTGCAGACACTGGGTTTGGAAGAACAAAGGAGATGAATACTGGCCAAAAACTACTTTTCAAGAATAAATCATGTAAAATCAAGCTAATTTCCTTCTTGGAGAAGGTTACAAGCCCTGAGGATAAGGAAAAAACAGCAGTCCTGAAATTTATCCTTAGTCAGGCTTCTGACTTGCTTTACTTGACATTTTCATAAGCAAGTTAGGCAAGCGAGAACTAATGAAACTGCTTTTGGGTGAATGAATGCCTAGAGAGATCCTTTTAGAATGGAAGACTGTGCTGGGCAGAGAACCGTTTTGTTCTGTGTCCAGTTCTGCTTGGTATTTTCATTTGTGACCTCAGGAGATGGGAGACTTGAAGATGATACTAAGTGAAGACATCTTTCAAGTATGGTGAAGGACGGGATTAGGAATCGGAAAGATCTGGACAAATGGTGAAAAAAGGGATCTGAAAGATATACATTTGCTACAAATAAATGCAGAATACTTTGCTTAGGAATAATTCCTTGAAAAAAAATACTATGTTCGGGAACAATTGGCTAGGTAGTCATTTTGCAGAAGATCTGAGGGCTGTGGTGAATCACTAGCTGAATCAGCAGTGTCATGCTGTTGCAAAATGGCAAGCTGGGAGTTATAAACAGCATTACAGCCTGTAAGCCTCGTAAAATATTCCTTTTGCTCTGTGTTGATAATGCCTTTACCAGAATACAGCACCAAAAAGTAGTAAATCAATTGGAGAGAATCTAGGGAAGAAAAATGAAAACTATCAGAAGTCCAAAAATCATGACATCTGTGGAAAAAAGAAGAGAGTTAGGCTCAGACAATCTAGAGAAGAGATTGTTTATGGGAGACATAGTAAAAGACTTCAAATAAGTAAATAGGCATTGCAAAGAGAAGTGAATAATCTTTGCTTTATCTGCTTGGTTAATGGGACAAGAATTACTGGACTTAACCTGAAATTTCCTTATTGCAATTTAGGTAGTGGAAAAGGTTTCTAACTGTACAGATGGTGAAAGACCAAAATATGTTACTGAAGAAGGTTGTTAAACCTGTATGAAAGGTGGCATTTTAAGAACAGGTTGGACAAATTTCTGTGGAGAAGGGATATGAATTCCCTGACTGGGTGAAATCCCTTCCAGCCCTACTCTTTGATGTTCTAACATTCAGTTAGAATGTTTTGTGATTTAAAAGTTAACACAAAGGTCTATTGTAAGAATCTCTGAAGTGTTTTGAAAGTAAGAAAGCCAGCATGTTGCTTCTGACTGTATTGTTATTTTCTGCCAAAACTGCATTGTTGAATGGTTAAGAGTGAATTACTGTCTGTTGGCTATACAGTAGCATTTATCACTGCAATTTGCAAAACTGGATTTCTAATTGATGTTTTTTTTGACAGATGGCTAGCTACCAACAAATTTGCTATTGTTCATAGAGTTTCATAAATCATGAAATTAATTTCAATTTAGTATTTCTTAAATAGGAAAAGCATGGAGAACATGTAATTGAAAGGATGCATTGCTTTTATAATTTGAGACATGAAAGCTTGTCTAAGAAACTTATAATTGCGTATTGTGGTGATGCTGTTCTATTATGTCACTACATTTAAAAAAAAAAAAAAAAAAGGATGATTCAGAAAGCCTGTCTGCCCCATCCTAAGTGACATAAAATCTCATTGAATCCTCATGGGAGTCACTGTGAGCACAGATTAAGGTAAGACCCAAAATTTATGTTTTTATTTAAATGTGTACGATGTGGGAAACTACATATTTTTAAACTGTAAATTTGGGGTCCAGATTCCATGTTGCTTTACAGTATTTGGCACCGAAGCTCATATTCAACAAGTTTTTGCTTTGTTTTAATTTCAGATAAATATGAGAGAGAAGCCAGTAAATATTGGAATGAATTTTACAAGACTCATAAAAATAACTTTTTCAAGGATCGCAATTGGCTGTTTCTGGAGTTTCCAGAAATTCTTCCAGAAAAAAGGAGAAAAGAGTTGAAAATGGAAGAAAGATCTTCAGAACACACAAAAATAAATAGTACCAACAGTTTTTCACACAAAAATGAAACGTTTGAGGCAGTAGAAAAATATTGGAAGAAAAATTATGGAGGTGGTTCTACTTCTGTACAAGAATATGTATATAATAAAAAACAAGAAAAATCTCCTACTAACAATCCTCAGGGTAAAAACTGTGGAGAAGAACTTGGCAGGCTAGAACCCTTCCCTGGTATTGATGCCACTTACAGAATATTAGAGGTAATGCACTGCAAATGTTCTACCCATCATATAGAACTCCACTTAATTGCTTATAAGCCTGATAAAGATGATTAGTAAGTATCAAGAAGTAAACATTTAGAATTTGATGTACTATATTCATTTATGGCAGAAACTTCCAGAGAAACCTAGTATCTGGGCTTTGTTTTCCCTTCAAAGTTTCTCCCAAATCAGAATTTAGGGCTAGATTGTCAGATTCCATTTTCACTGGAAGTTGGGTTTCTAATTTCCCAAGAAAAGTTATGTCTTAAAGTACTCTGTCTTAAAGTGCAAGTACTTGACGCATTCTTGCCAAATGGTGAAATTGGACAAGAGTACTGCGTTTTCCTATGCAGTTTGAGAGATGGATGCTCTCCTAACTTTAGAAAGACATGGAGGAGAAACGTGATCATAGAAGTGACTTGAGAGTTGTGGTATGAGCTGTTTTTACCTTTTTTTGTCCAACATACCTTTAAGTCTAGTAGGTCTGACCTACCAACTAATTTAAGACAAAAATAAAAAACCATGAGGTTTTGTTTGCTCATTTATTTTAACTTCTTGTTTCTCTTCTGATTTTTAGGTTGGTTGTGGCGCTGGAAACAGTGTCTTTCCTATTTTGAAAGTTCTATGGTATGTAGTGCTGGATTTTCAAAGATGAAAGTTCTGTTCTCATCTTAATTTTCTTCAAATGTTGGTGCTAGACCAGTGCTGCAGGAAGTGTTGAGTCGACTGTTTTACAGCCCTGAAATTCTGATTGCTTGCAGACCACAGATAATGTTGGTAGCATCAGTATAGGATACACCTCATACAGGTCCATCCTAGTCTTGGGGGCACCGTATTTGCTGACAAGATTTGTCTTCAGGTGCATTCAGACTGATTATCTTGTAGTTCATCTCAGGCAGGTGAAGTATTCCCTTGTCTTATATGTCACCATAAAGCTACCGGATATTTCTTCAAAAGGCCAAAAATCAGAGACAGTAGATAATGGCATGTGATCCAGCAGTAAGAAGCTGTATTATTTCTGAATTTGGCTGGTACACTTTGTCATATTGCTTCAGGTTTTAGTGTCAAGGAAGGCACAAGTCTTGTATTGCATTACTTAATTCCTTGAAACATCTTAATCCACTTAGCTTCTGGTTTTAGAAGAAGCTGTTATGAGAGCATGTGCTCCCTTCCATGGAGGCAGGAAAGTTTTATTGGAAGGGCTGTGTATGTATCAAGGGTTGAAATAGATTTCTTTTTATTCATGCCTCCAAGAGCTTGAGTATGGCACAGTTCATGATTCTATAAATGAATTCTGATTGCTAGCATCACCACTATACAAAAATACTCCATTTGGCAGATATAGAAACAGAGAGTAGGAGGAACTGAGTGATGCACCCGTGTCATACATGAAACCTATTAGTGTTAGCAACGCATCTTCATCCCACGACAAATGCTTTGCTTTAGACAGCATATAATGAAAGGGGAGTCCTGTTTTGTACAAAAAGTTTGGGAAGTAACATTATACTGGGAAAAGATATCATGTGGCTGTATTAAAAATTATGAGACAAAGTTTTGTATTTTCCTCACGGGAGGCATTAGTCATAGGTTGACATTTCTGATAATTAAGAATCCACTCATTAGGTATTTTTCCTGGAGATCTCTATTCTTATGCAAATCCTTCAGTCAGTCACATTGGTTGGTACTTTGAACAACACACCTTTATCTTGCATATGACCTGATGGAAACATCATTTAGCAGGCCTGGCTTTATAGCACAGTTGGTTTTACTCTGAATTTAATAATATAAAAACTGTCTTTTGTATGCATATAAAAAGAAGCCAGTGTCAAGTATGAGGGTACCCTGGCTACAAAAAAAATTTTCCACTTAGGTTTGTAAAGTAACTTTTAAACCGCTTCCTCTGTCCCCCTTAAAATTTAAGTTACTGCTTTTTAATACAATACATCATGAAATCACTGTCCAGATCAAGCTGTGCCTTTGTTTTAAGTTGACTTTCTACTTAGCTCCTATTCTGCTCTAAAAAAAATGAAATAACATCCTAACAAGTCAATTAGGTAATCAGCTTAACCTTTCCCAAGGGACTGGCTGGATCCAAAGCCTGGCTGCTTGTCGTCATCCATGAAAAATATCTAAACTAATGAACTCTCATGGTGGGAACAGAGCTGATAAAAGTTTTGCTCAGCAGCAAGGATGGAATATATTTTGGTGCACAAAGGTCCTCCTGTTGAGCCCTCAGAGAGAGGTCACTAACTCAACTGCGTATACTGTGAGATATTATAGGCACTGCCAGAGTTTACTGATTTCCTTTCTAAAGAAACCAAAAATGTCCAAAATATGAAATATTTTTAAAGAGAGATTAACTGATCATGAGTTGACCGTGAGGTCATTCCTTAGTAGGCTTTGAGGGGCTTGCTCAGTTTCTCTTAAATGAATTTTTCAGAGGTGAAAAAAATTTCTCCCTAGAGCTACTAGTATCTGATGAATGGTAGGAGGAAATTTGCAGCTGGCTTAATCTTGGATGAGAAAGGAAGAGAAAACAGTGCTACAGGAAATTCTTATTCATCTTGGCTTACAAAACAAAGGGGATAATGGAGGGAAACAACCAATACTGCTTAATCTAATCAAAAGCACAGCAAGGTGGCATATCAGAACCCAAACTTCTACAGAACTATGGATGACTTTTGCAACACCCCACCCCTACCCAAATCATATTGCTAATTAAACAGCATACATGGGCTAATGATAGAGACTTAATGCAGTGCTTCTGTAAGAAAATATGACCTATTAATGTGCATTTATGTAATACAACACCAGGACATTGTCATCAATCCTGACAGCCCTCTGTGACCTTCTTTCTTTTCCTTTTCACTTCCTCCCTGACAAGGCTATAATTCTCCTTTTTAGACTAATTGCCTGTTGGTATTCTTATGAATTTGTCTGCCCTATTGGTTCATTACAACCTATGTGGCTTTCCATGTGCTAGACATCAGTAAGGCATGCTTGATCAAACCTGTGGAGAACCCCAAAGGGCCCTCTGTAGTTCCATGAAAACTGACGTAGACTTTCATCTTTTACAATAATAATTTTTTAACTGATGTTGGTTTTGTTTTGCTAGCAATACACCTGGAACCTTTCTATACTGTTGTGATTTTGCTTCAGGAGCAGTGGAGCTAGTAAAGGTAATTCATGTGCGTGCTTTAGAGTATCTTATAAGCCTGTAATTCAGGAGGCTGCCAGGAAGCCGTCTTCATGAAAAAGCATGTGATGGCTTTGACAACTTTTAACTGAAGTTTTCAATTTTCCAAAGAACAAAGTCTTACTCTGCAGAGAGGAATGAATACCATCAGTGATCTTGCTTCTCAGCTTGAGTAAGATACCAGACAGAATAGGCTTTTATATGAGATGTTTTACAATGCTGAATAATTGAAGAAAAAAAGTTTCTTGAGTCACAGTAAACGTATTAACTACTACTGTTCTCTCTGTGCCTCTTTTCATCTTTTTCCCCGACAGTCACATTCGTCCTACAATTCAGCCTGGTGTTCTGCCTTTGTTCATGATGTGTGTGATGATGCTTTACCCTATCCTTTTCCAGATGAGATCCTGGATGTCATTCTCCTTGTCTTTGTGCTCTCTACTATTCATCCTGACAGGTAAATGAAGACCAAAGGGCAAAGCAAATGGGTTAAATCTCTTTTATCACTGGAGGTTTTCAAGAATAGCAAAATAAGATGATGAATCTTTAATTTATTACTTAGTAAGCTACAATATATATAAAACAAGGTATTTTAAATGCTGTTTCTTCAGGCTTCAAGAGAAAAGCTGGTCAGGCTAATTCATTAGCAAGCCTCCTGTCTTCATCAAAATAAAAGTGGTACATTGTAACTAAATACATCACTATTAAAAGTGACAGTGATTCAAGAAAATTACAAATTAAAAAAGCAGACAGCTAGTCTTCTATAAAGAGATTATTCTTAGTGACCAACCAAACATTTGTGATTTAACACCTTACAATGTGTTGAAAAAGATTTAGGTTGCTGGTTTAGCCACATGCATATGCTTAACATGCAGGCCTTTTAAACCAAAATGCATTCAGAATTTTGTGACTTGTTTGGGTTAAGAAAACTTCATCTGATTTTCATGCACAGTGTTACATTGAGTGCTGTTAGCCTTGTTACTAATGCCTCTCAATGTCTAATGAGCCAAACTTTGACTGTTAAGCCTGGCTGATTGTTAAAATGCCCTTTTTTAATGGGAAAAATGCAAAAGAGGGCATGTAAGTTAAACTCCTTGACTCTTCCTTTAACTAGATCATATGAAGGGAAATACATACTGAATGTGTGGTAATACATTTATTACTTTAAGAATGTCATTAAAATGGGCTTGGCAAACAGAACAGTATTTGCCGAAGTCTGAGAACTGTTTCCCTGCCTAAGTTATTAATGATTAGCTTTACAGAAAAGTCTTTCCCATATAGGATATTGCTCCTTCCTGTTTGTTCAGAGATGAGCACATGAGTCATGCAGAGCCTGGGTCCAGATTTCACAAACAATTTGAGCAGTAGATTTCACCATCTCTAACTGTCGTGATGCTGCCAGGAAGAATTGGACAATAGCAGTGCATTTATTCAATTGCTTTTCGTATTAGTCATTTGGGAATGTGTTTGTCTTTTTTTTTTTTTTTCTTCTCCCTCACTATGTCAGCATCTAAAGGCTGACATGGATGCTTTTGTGTGTGTGTATACACATAAAGATTTCTGTGTAATTTTCTGTGTTACAAGACCCACTTTCCAAAGATTTGTTAGTCATTACTGTCATCTCATAGAATTAAAATTACTGCATAAAGGCAAATGTAGTTCATCTTGCTGAGTATACATTTTTTCTGGAAACTTTGAAAGTGGGAAACGAAAAAGAAAACCAAGAGGGTGATGAAGGGAACTTAAGTACTTTAGAGACCTGGAAAATATATTTGAGCAGGACATGTTTGCATTCAGCGCAAGTGTTACTTGGTGATTTCTCCACAGGCTGCTGTGTTTAGTTTTTGATAATTGCTACTCTTGTGCTCCATTTTTAACACACTTCAATTCTGCTAGATGGCCCTTTAAAAGTTGGTTGCAGAATTTGAAAGGTATTAAACTTTCTTCAAGCTGTATAATGAATGTGCTTTAGTCCTACGGGAGATTTCGCAAAGCACTTTCACTTTTCGTGCATGTACATTTTTTTCTATGTGCACAAAACTTATGTATGTGAAGTCTGTAATTCTGTGCACAACTATCTGTCTTGAACAGCCTCTTATTCTTAGGTGGTGCTGCCTTTTCTGTACGTGGCACCACACTTGGTTGCCTGTGTTGAGCATGAGCAGGGAGGGCAACTTTTAAAGCACTTGGCTTCATCTAAGGGTATTCCATGCTTAAAAAGTGTACACAGCTTTTGGTTCTTGTTTGTTTGTTTGGAGTTACGATATTATTTTCTACTGAACTACCTCCTAATTCCGTCCCTTAAAAATCAAGGCAAGATGCCTGCACTGCTGTTGCGTAAGGACCAAATTGCATTAGTGCTTGAGTGCTCATGTTCTTGGGGCAAGGGTGTAAGGCCACCTAAGACAGAGGTGGTGTAAGGATGTTCTCTTGATACACACTAATGGTATGCTGATTTTGTATCGTTAAGTAGGACTTACTCTTCTTTAGCTCTTTTCAGATACAGCACCCTGCCTTTCCATTCCATTCATTTTGCATTCACTTTGGGTCAACATCTTCTACATGGTCTATCTGCTTCCCTGTGGGAGGAAGGGTTGAATTAGGCAAGTGGACTTATCTACCTTGCAGCTTGCCAGGTGCAGACTGCCTTTTGTGGTCTTTCATGAATGTGGAAAACCTGAGTCCTTCAGTTTATTCTGAAAGTATTCATCAGTAATGTATTTTGCAGAGTAATGCAAATGTATTTACAAGAAGCTCCAAGGTAAGGTTAAAAAGTGAGAATGAAGATGCTCTGGTCTAGCAAAGGGGAAAGAG